TGATGCAATCCTTAACTCCACGGGCCAGGCATGCAGAGCAGAACCTCTGCTTCATTGCCCAATTTTGGGTGATGAGCGGTAGGCACAGCCTTCCAGCACCCTCTGTCCCCCCCAGCATCTTATACAGCAGCTTGTACCAGCTTTACTTGTGCTTTACCTGCTCGCCTTCCACCCATGAGCTCTGGGGATTTGGGGATAACAAATTATTGCCTAGGGACATCCATGGATATGCACACTGCAGGTGGAAGTGAGGAATGAACTTGGAGAGACACCTAACATCCAGGCCACTGTACTCGCTGGTAAGTGAGGGGACTGAGACCTGGTGGTATATAGGGGAGAGACTGGAAGATGTGTATGGGTCAGACTGATTCACCTGCCTCATGGGAGTCCTGAGACGGCCTTGTTAGTGCAGAGCATCACTGACTGCCACACGTCAGACCACACAAAAGCTATGGCTGGGAGCCTGTCTAAGAGAACTAGATCCAAGTACCTGCTTGAGTGTCAGAACAGGTGTCACATTGGGCAGGGCCATGACTCTAACCAGCACGCGAGAGAACCAGGTCCAGGGGTAGACTCTGTGGGGGATAAGTGGGCCCAACACTATGCAGATACAAGTCCCACTGGTTAGCTCAAGAGTTGGGGTGGTGACTGGCTGAACTAGGTGTGAACATGGAACCCACCAACACTCATGGGTACTGGTGCTAAGAATAGGCTGGTCAGGTCCAAGCTGCAGCACCTGAATGTATATCCTAAAACAGGAGGCTGTCCTACGACATCCACCAGCTCATACAAAGGCCATTTTGGAGGGGCACGGATGTACTGGGTAAGGGCCTAGCACCAGCTGGAGCATATGAGATCTGGCTCTGGGAGTGGGCTGAGTGGGGAACCTGGGAAACTACCCTACTGGGCCATAACTCCTACCAGTGAGCACGTGTTCCACACCTAGGGGTCGGGTAAACAGGGCAAGGTAACCATACCCATTGGCAAGTGTGAGGGTTGGTTTTGGAAGGGGGCAGACAAGGCAGGGCGGAGCAGACCTTAGCCCACTGGCGAGTGCAAAAACCAGGCTGGACTGTAGATCATGCCGGGCTGGGCTAGGGTATCACACCTACTGGTTCACATGAGCCGGGGATGGGAGCAGACTGAGCAGGGCCAGGTTGCAGCAACCACAAGTGAGAGTTGGGACTGAGGGGATGGCTAGGTCAGGCCAGCTTGCAACATCCAAAGGCAAAGGCTAGGACAGATGGGGGCTATGCCAGGATGGGTACACAGGCATGTGTGAGTTCTCTGCAGGGGAGCAGGCCTGGCAGGGGAGAAAAGAAGATGCGCTGGCCGGGTTGTGGTTCCCATTCTTGAGTAAAACGACCATGGTGGGTACTGCGGTCTGGTCTGGATATAGCTGCAAATCCCTCGGCATGTTTGTGGGCTTGGTGTGAGGATACAGTGCAGTGTGAAGCTCTACTTCCAGATCAAAGATGGACTACGAATGAAATTATTAGCTGTGTCTTGACAGTGGGAGGCTGGACTCTCTGCCACTGTCCATGCCCACAATAATGAACATGGGACTGTTTATGAAGAGCTGTGCTATAGATAGGAAAATTCCGTGCGGCAGGGGTGGGGTGCAGGGGAGGGATTTGTAGAGGAGGCAGGGGAAATCCCAGGGCATATGTATCACAGAATGATGATGATATTTTAAAAAGAAGTAACAATAAAATTAAAAAAATATATATATTTTTTCAAAAGAGGCTGCACTCCCATCGTCATCAGAAGAAGGCACTGTAGCAGGGTCCTGAGGACCTGGGCAAGCAGTGAGAGGTGCTACTGAATAGCAGACACTGGAAACCTCACACTCAGCCAGTCCCCCACCCAGAAGGATGACTGACTCAGCGACAGCTGGCAGGTGCAGGAGACCCTGGGCAGCAGTGGTCAGATGTGGGTACCGGGAGGTGGCCATCAGACTCTCTGTAACTGAGGTATTTGTGCAAGCCTTGGTCTGGAGTGCACAGATGGGTGTGAGGTCACCCCTGGGAAGGAGAAAAAGAGGCACACCGAGTGAGGACTCAGGGCGTCAGCCATACCCTCAGAGGACCACAGAGAGCAGCACCCACGGGGTCAATGCTGGAGGACAGGAGCTCGGCCACTTGGCTCACGTGCCATGTCACTGCCTGTTCTGGAAGCACCAGAAACAAGAGCTCTGGAGGTCACTGGGGCTGACAGCCTGCGCCCCAGCAGCAGGGTTATGCCCAAAGTGCCCGGATGGCAGGCCAAGAACACCCACAGCCCCGCCCCTTGGGCCTCTCCCCAGGGCCCCGCCCCTCCTGGCCGGGTGGGCGGGGCCTGCGGCTGGCCGGAACTGGACCCCTACTTCCGGCCAGAAAGCCCTCTAAGCTCGGGCCTGTGCTGAGGGACGGCTTCGAGCCGGCTCACAACACGTCCTGGTGGGGACCAGGCGTGTCTTCTGGTAACCTGACTTCAATGTGAGGACAAACCCTGAAAACCCACTCTGCCCTGGCTCTAAAGGGGGAGGGATAGGTGGAGATGGAGGCCACGTCCTCCCGGCATCATTCTCAGAGAGCCTGACCTGTCACCGAGGCCCAGAGTCCCCATCCCCTCTGCTGAGGGCTCTTGGTGGACAAAGGCTTTACCCAGTGGCCATGGGGCTGGGTCAGCAAGGGGTGTCACAGACCTTGTGACAGAGGGCGGGGAGTCCAGGGGATTTGAACATGTAGATGATCCATCCGTGGCCCTGACTCACCACAGGGCAGGTCAGCAGAGCAGGAAGACTCAGCCTCAGCACTGAGAGGACAGCGGCGGGAACCCCCAGGATTAGGTGGGGTTGGGGGATAAATACCTGTGTCCTGAGATCAGGACCCCAGTGGTGCTGCTTGGGGGGGGAACAGGGTCAAAGACCTGGAGTCCTGAGATCAGGACACGGGGAGCGCTGCTGTTTGGGTTAGCACAAAGACCTGGGGCCTGAAATAGGTACCCCAGGTATCCTGGGGGAGCTGCAGGGGTGGTCAGGGGCCAGGACCTTCACACTGAGATTGGTAACCTGGGAGAGCTGGGGTTGGTGTATATGGAGGACCAATACAAGTACCCTGTCCTCAGTACTCCAGGGGAGTGTGGCCCTGTATAGGCGACCTGTAGCTTTGCCCTGACATTGGTTCCCCGGGACAGCTATGGGGGACAAATCCTGTACCCTGAGATCAGTAATCCAGGAGAACTGAAGGAAAAATGGGTGACAAAGAACTGCAGCCTGAAATGGTAACATTGTTAGCTATGGGGCTTTAACAGGGACAAAGACTGGTTCCCTAAGATTGATAAGCTGTGAGAGCTGTGGGGGTGGATAGGGGACCAACACCTGCACTTGATATTGGTACCCTGGGCAATCTAGGGGGTGGGTCGAATGTGTGATGAATCCCTGAGGCCTGAGATTGTTGCCGCGGGAGACCTGTGCAGATGGATATGGGGCTAGCAGCTGTGCCCTGAGGTTGAGTTTGAGGGCGAGCTCTGTGATTTGGTAAAATGGATGGGGCATAAAGACCTGAACCCTGAAATCTATACCCAGGGAGAGGTGACATGTGCATGCGGCACAAAGAACTGCACCTTGTGTGTGCTGTATGGGTGGACAGGCGCCCAAAGCCTAAACCCTGATTTGGCTGCCTAGGATGGCTGGTGTCTGGAGAACAGGGCACAAATTTCTGTAGCAGTTACTAGAACCACAGCATGGCCCAGGCTATTGGGGAAAAAAACCCAAGCCCTGAGGATTGTACGCTGGAAGATCTGAGAGGGTGAATGAGGAACAATTACCTGTGCACTATGAAGGGTACCACAGGAGGGTTTGGGGAGGACTGGGCACCCTCTGACAGTCTGTGGGTAGGGTGGGGGCACAAAAAGCTGTGGCCCTGACATTGGGACTCCATGAGAGCTGGGGTTGGACCGTGGTGGTAAAGACCTGCAACCCTGAGTTTGAGACGTAGTAAATGGTGGGGGCTGCATGGTGGTCACAAAGACCTAGGCCCTGAGGTTGGCCTGTGGGGTATGGCTGAGGGGATGAGCACACAGGCATGAAAAAGAATCTAGCACCCTGCAGTAGTCTGTCAGAACTTGGAAGACTATAACTTGCTGTTTCATTTTTCAGTTTGGAGTGTCCAGGCCAGTGAGGCCAGAGAAGTCCACAGTGTATTCCCGTGGCCACCTGCTGGGTAAGTTCTCACTTTCACATAACTGCAGAGATCTCAAGGTGACACCAAGGTCTAGACATGCTCAGAGGGAGGAAGGTGACTGAAATCCAAATAAGTATCTACTCCTGAAAGACTTCTGCCTGACCTGCCCCTGATCTCAGTCATGGTACATAATCTTGGGCAGCTGTATCGTGCTGAGGCTCCCCTGATTCCTGCAGCTAAGAACCTGTGACATGAGCAATTGGCTATGGATGTAAAGGCTCCAGTCAGCCAATACTGGGCATTTCCCATTGTGGCATATTTGACAACCTTGACATTGAACTGAAGAATGCCAAAGAGTTAGCACAGAAATAGCCTCAGAGTGTCCAGGGGTGGTGAGGCAGACCCCTTCTCACACACTCTACTGGCACAGCAGGTTCTCACCATCTGTTATACACTAGCAGATCGAATGGGGCTTCGAGTTCTTACCAGCAGTTGAGAGAGGCTCTAGAATATGGAATGACACCAGAGTATCTCCTTAATCCAGGGTCCTAATCTGAGGTCCAGCTGCTACTCCAATGAAGTGGTGACTAGACTCTGAAGGTGTATTTTAAGTCTCCACTTTGGTATACAGATTGCAAGAGACGTGCTGGCCATGGTGACAGAAGCCCCACATGTCACTAGAGCCCTGCTGTGAATGCAATCCACTGAGGCATCCTCGAATGATGCCCACAGAACTCTCCCTGACCACAGGGCCAACATGATGTCATTTTCCCCAAACCCAGGTGTGCTCCTTGCCAGCTCTACTGCCTCCTGCTGTGGCTGACTGCCATCATCATGCCTCAAGGAAACAAGGGCAAGCGGCGCACTCGGAAGAAGCACCAAAAGAGCAGCAGCCCAACCCAGGATCCCGCAGATGTCCACGCCCCTGAGGGGGTGGAGCAGGGGGAAGGGTCCCATCACTTGTCTCCTGTTTTTGTGGGTGCTCTCCCAAGCTCCCCTGCAGCCCATGCTCCCCAGGGGTCTCTGAGAGGGAGACCTTTTGGCACTCCTGGGTCAGCTGGTACTGATCCAAATTCTGATGCAGATGAGGAACAAGGGGCAAGGGCCAGGCTCTCAGATGAGGCAGGTTCTGAGATCTTCCTGCGAGATCCTCTCAACAGGAAGTCCAGTCACTTGGTGAAATTCCTCCTGGAGAAGTTTATCAACCGACAGCCCTTTACTCATGCAGACATGCTGAATGTGATCAGCAAAAAGTATAAGAAGCACTTCCCTGAGATCCTCAGGAGAAGCTCTGTGCGTGTTGAGCTGGTCTATGGGCTGGAGTTGGAGGAAGTCGACCCCAGTAATCGCTCCTATATCCTTGTCAACAAGCTAAGCCTCTCCAGTGAGGATAGTCTGACTGGAGAGAGGAGCTTGCCCAAGACCGGGCTTGTGATGACACTCCTGGCTGTGATCTTTATGAAGGGCAGCCGTGCCCCTGAGGAGGAGATGTGGCAATTCCTGAGTTCCATGGGTGTTTATGCTGGAAAGGATCACCCAATCTATGGAGAGCCCAAGAAGTTCCTCACCCAAGATTTGGTGGAGGAACAGTACCTGGAGTACCGCCAGGTGCCCCATCGCAGGCCTCCAGCCTATGAATTTCTGTGGGGTCCCAGAGCTTATGCTGAAACTAGCAAAATGGAGGTCCTGGAAATGTTGGCCAAGATCAATGACACAACCCCTTACTGCTTCCCTGTTCTCTATGAAGAGGCTTTGAGAGATCAGCAGGAGAGGGCAGAGCTCTGTGCTGTAGACTGGACTTCCACTGCAGCCAGGGCCCAGGCAGGTTCTCAGGCCATGTCACACAGATACTCTCACACCTAAGAAGGTCTGGGGAACAAGTTTCACTTGGCTCCAGAGGGGTAGTCAGAACTGCAAGGGGTAAAATTAGCACAGACAGCAGGCAACAAAATGTATATCTTTGGGTTTTTCCCTGCATTGTATGAGTAATTTTCTGTTATCTCCCTGTGCTAGTTTTCTAATGTTTCTGCTATTCATTGAAAGTTGGTATGGTTTCACACTCAACATTTGCACCTTTCACGCACCATACTTTTACTGCCCTGTCCTGTTTATGTCTAACGGTTTTGCTCTTCTGAATAAATTTAAGAGCTCTGAGCAAGAGTTTGTGTGTGCGTGTGTGATTTTAGCTGTAAGATAAGGCAACATGAGAGTGAGATAAATCTTGCTCATGGAAACGTGGAAGAACCACAAGGGATGATAGAATCACAAAATTGTGAATGAAAAGTAGAATACCTTATAATTTTTATATGTATGTTGTGTTTTTTAGAGCAAGCATTTTCCATGAATTTTAGAAGTCCTTTGAATATGCTAATCTGAGAAACTCTTTATCCACGCAGTGGAGTTTGATTTGTTGAGAAGTCATTATCCATAGTTATAATGCTTATCTAAGCTATTAATGCATGTTTTTGTGTTTGGAGAGGTCGACGCTGGTGTAGATGGTCGTACCAAAAGGAAATAGTGGGAAATGGTTAAGGCAGATGGTAACTGGAAAAGCAGAGTTCAGTGAATGTGCGACATGTGGAAGGAAAGTGAGGTTGGATCAGGGAGGCTGTCAAGACAGAGGGAATTTGCTCTTCCAGCAATAAAGCCCCTCCTCCACAAAATTCCCAGGACAATATGGCTACACTCTGAATTATATCAAACTTTTCAGGAACTAACTCCAATAATTAAATCTATTCAATAGAATTTAAATACAGGGAATTTTCCTTTTTTCTTTTAAGAGTCCAGCATCATTTACTTACAAAGCGATACAAGAAAGAGCAGTATAGACCAATATCTCTGCTGAACATTGATGCAAAAATCCTAAGCAAGATACCACCTAGTCAAATCCAACAACATATCAGAAAGTTCATGTACCCGGACCAATTTGAGATTTATCCCTGCTATACATGAGTGGTTCAACTATGCAAATCAAGAAATGTGATGCATCACATTATAAACTGAAGAATAAAAGCCATATGACTACCTCAATAGTTGCAGAAAAGGCATCTGATAATATGTAATATTCTTTCATTATAAAAATCTAAAGAAAACTTTGTGTAAGAGAAACATTTCCCAATACTTCCCTAACAAATAAGACAAACTGATAGCCAGCATGATATTGAATGGGGAAAAGTTGGATCCAGACCATACAAAGATACCCACTCTCACTACTCCTAGAAATTTTAAACAGACATTAGGTAAGAAAAAGAAACCAAAGGGATAAAAATTAGAAAAGGGAAAATCTAGTTACTCCTGTTTGCAGATGATATAATTCTCTACATAGTAGAACTAAAGGCTACTGTGAGACTATTTAAAGTCACACGAGGTGTATTAGGTAAAGCTTCATGTCACAAAAATCAACACATGAAAATCAGCAGGCTTTGTGTATGCAAATAATTCCATGTCTAAGAAATGACTTGCCATATCAGTTCCATTCATCATAGTTGCAAAATAATTTGAATACCTTGGAATAAATTTAACCAAGAATACTTAATGAAATAAATCAGTCCTAAAATAGAGTACAAAAATGTATTCTGTGTGAAATTAATGTTTTGAGATTTGGTTATTGTTTATAGTCTTAGTCTATACTCTTGAGAAAGTTTTTTTTTTCTCCTTGGCATATGTAATAGAGGATTGAATCCTATGATTGCCAAGAGAACTGAAAGTATGTCATTAGAAAATTTTTTGAAAAAATAAGGAAGAGACATGATGCAAATACAGGCAGGAAAGAGTGTAGGGTGGGAATTATTCTGGTTCTAAATCTGTATTGTGAAATACATCAAATTTGTTTACATTATAAAGATAACATTTAAATTTTTTTTACAATACATATAAAGCCATGATTTTTATTACTTGTCAATTTCCAATGTATAGCCACCACTCTTGCCATAGATAATTTTAGGCTACAAATGAGATGGCAACTGGCACAGCAAATTCGTGAAAATTTAGCAGTCATTTGTGGAAAATCAATGGTAGCAACTGCTTACAGCACATCACAGGAATTAAACTAGAGACTATAACATATTGCACCTACCTCAAAAACAACTGTTATATCATTAAAGAAACTGGAATCACATAGAAAATAAGCCTCATAGTGTTGTAAGGGTATTTATATAATCAAAAATATTGTGGCTTCTGATTTGCAAGAGCAAGAAGTAGGTTACAAAATTTCGTAGTTCAAAGAAAAGCATACTCTGCAGTCTTCAGGTAGAGCACAATAACAGACAGGAGCCTCACTACTAGAAAACTAAGAATTTGCTTCCACAGAAACAAGATCAGTGTTTAATCAAGAACCTCTCCTTCCTGCCAGAGCTGAACGCGGGGCACATTTTTTCTTCTTTGCAAGGCTGTGTCATAGATATATTCCTGTACTTCTGGGTTTTTCTCATTTTTCCCTTTTTCACATTTATCTTGTTTTCCAGTGCTAACCTTTTATGTTGCATATCTACAGAGTAAGAGATTTGTATTAATTTCCTATTGCTACTATGACAAACTAAATCAATTTTATTTGGTTAAGATCACATTGTTTTATCATCATACCAGTTTGGAAGGCAGAAATCCAATACAAGTATCACTGTTACAAAAATCAAGTTGCTGACAGGATTACATACATTTCTGGAAATTCTAAATGAGAAATTATTTATTTGCCCTTTCTGGGTTCTAGAAAATGGCCACATTCTTTGGCTTATAGTCCTTCTTTCATTTGCAGGGCAGTGGTGGCTGATTGAATTCTCATGTTGTACATCTCTGACATTTTATCATGACATGTCCATCTCTAAATCAAACTATACTTGTGGATACTTCTTCCAATTTAGTTACTGTTATGTTTATGTTACATTGAGCTTATTCAGATAATACACAGTAATTTCATTATTGAAAATCAGCTGGTTAGGAAATTATTCCATCTGAAACCGTCGTTTCCTCTTTGCTGTAATTTAGGACATAGAGATCTCTGGAGGGATGCATGTTAGTTCACATACTACAGGAATAAACTGGTCTTCTTAAGTCATACATATTCAGATTAAGAGGAGACACATTCACACTTTACAATAGTTGCTGCATACCTCCTGTGGAAGATGAACTTAGATCTAGATGCAATCATTGCACGAGGCTTTTGCTTTTCTCTGGCAGCACTGCTTAAGATAACTGATGACTAGGAAGAGTGGGTTATTGAAGTCTGACTAGCTGCTCGTGAAATACATTTCTTTTTTCTCACTGAGTACACTTTGAATAAATTTCACAAATTCCCTTGCAATTAAGTGTTTCCATATAATTAAATTCTTAAAGTGCAATGTGAGTGGAAATGTAATGTGCCATCTTCAGTTCTGTACCTTAAGAAGTTCTACTCTTCATTCTACAGACCCTTCCCCCCTGCCACCTCTCACTGAAAGTTAAGAAACATCATAAAGAAAGTGAGTGAGGTTACTTAAAGGAGAGCCACTCAGATTTAGAACACTGATTTTGAACTTTCCTTAAATGATAAATATTCTAAGGTAAGTTTTTTGGCTTATCAGTCATATCAGCTAGTGATATCTTGATTTATAGTTATAATACAGCATTAAGTGAATAGGTATAATACAAATTATATGCTACATTATTTTATGAGTGATTATTACAAATTACATTGGAATTAGTTGTTTTTAAACACTTAGTTTTGGAAACACTGACATCTGAATTACCTAATCTGTAAAATGAATACCTGCTTCATTTGGCTGTTGTGACTACTAACTATCAAAGAAATGTAAAGCACTTAGCCTAATGTTGTGCCAATAGGAAAATCTTCCATGAAAATCCAGTATTAAATTATGAATTTTGTGCAAAATTTAGTATTAATCATTCAGAGTATTTTAGTCACTATAACTTACCAGTTGATTACTAAAGTTATAAAGTTAAAACAACAAAAGAACATGAAGCAAGTGGCAAATTTCTTCTGCATGTACCACTATTATTCCACTTCTTATTGGAAAATCCCTTAGTTAAAAATTTAGGATTGCCAATGCTATGTCATAGTAGGTTAAGCCTCCACTTGTGGTGCCTGCATCCAATATGGATGCTGATTCAAGTCCTGGCTGCCCCACTTTTGATCTGGCTCCTTTCTAATTTGTCAGGGAAAGCAGCAGCAGACATTCCAAGTGCTTGAGTCTCTGCACCATGTGGGAGACTTGGAAGAGACTTCAGGCTTCTGGTTTCACATCCACACAGCTCTGACCATTGTAGCCATGTGAGGAGTGAATCTGTGGGTGGACTATCTTTGTCTTTCCTTCTCTCATGGGAAACTCTACTTCTGAAATAAAAATATAATAAATGTTAAAAAGAATTTATGATTATTATGTTAATAACTTAAACCAACAGATGAGTAATTCTACTACTTACAATATATACCTTGGCTCAATGTCTTAAAATATCAAGCAACCAGCTAGTTAATATGTCCAGTACACATTCATTGAACATCAAACAAGGTCTTATTTTTTCCACAATTTAAAAAAAGTAATTTCCTTCTCATTATCCTCACTTCTAATGGAACTGCTATTCTTTACTAATTTAATAAATGTATAATTCAAGTGTATAAAATTTACTCACATTTAAATATGTACAACATTTTGAGTTCTGATAAATTGCATTTTAATTTCAATATCAACTTCTTCACTCTTAATATGTTTGCAGTGATCTTAAAGGATGCCATATTCAAATTATATAAAACTATGAAAAAATAGAATTAAATGGCAATGTATACTTTCCATGAACTATTTGAAAGCTTGTATATGGCCAAAAAGATAGTCATAACTCTTTACTAAGTTAATCAATCACACTTCTTTACAAAG